ATTATTATTGTTACCAATATATTAATCTGTAAAAGTCCAATAATATTTTCTAAGCATTTATAATATTATTTTGATTTATATGGAATTATAAATTATTTATTTATTATTATTACCATTATTAAACAAAAGAAATAGTTGAACACGTATCGACATGTTATAAGATATTGAAAAAATCATATTAAGTTAATAGAATATAATTTAATGAATAAATGAACTGTCTTCTTTGTGTAGACTATTTCTGATATGAATGAAACTATGAATCAGTAGTAGTAGTAGTAGTAGTAGTAGTAGTAGTAACAATAATAATAATAGTATCAGTAGTAATGGTAGTACTAGTAGTAGTGGTAATAGTAATAATAATAATAATAATAGTCAAGATTTGTAGCTACAATGGTTGAAGTAGTTTGAGAGTGTATCTGATCTAGCATAAAATGGATGCTATCTTCACTTCTTAGTCGTATGTCTTCTTATTAAATTGAATACTGTTTTGTTTATGATGTTCTATAGAAATTTAATGTTTATTCTTCAGAATGTATAAATAATCATTTAGATAACTTGGATAAACAACTTGTCTAAAAAAAATTTTATTTACGAAACAATTGTCAACAGAAGGATCATGCAGAATTTTTTTTTAGAAATTTATGACATCACAGATCCTTTTTGAATTTGGAACTCGTAACACTGGATAACAACTAATCAACATATAACAAAAACCAGGATATTCACATATTGTGTGGACTATGGTAATTTTAGACCACTTTGTGTGAAGAGCTAGTTACTAATATGTAGAAGATCACTATTTAAATGGCTATTATTCATAAATTTGTTTAACTTAAATTTTCTCATGGATTATGTGAAAATCGAGACGCATTAAAAATCAATAAAAGCAGGTGCCAACAGTTTGTCTAGAACTCTACATGTTACTGAACTTAAGACCTAAAAGTCCTACAGTTAGTGTGATATAAATCAGTTAATTAGTTCTAATGTTTACTGGTCCCTTATTTATAAATTCAGACAATTTATGTTTATAAATATCGTACAGATCTTGAAATATATCTACTTTAGTCGATAAATTGTTTTCATTTTATCTATTAAAATTAATTATGTTACGTTACTTATTTTGAATTCATGGACAGAAAAAAAAACGTAACACATGTAGAAATCATAATTAAATAAACTTTGATTGTAGTTTAACATAAATAAACAAATTTACGAATGCTGGTCGGCGGTCTATGCTCGATTGGGGGATAACAGGCATAAGTAAGTTCCAGAAGTTTATTATCTAACAAGAAATGAATTTTTTCAGTTTTCTGCAAATAAACCTGTTGATGATCGTTTAAATAATATATAAAGGAAACTTATGCCTCTTATCTATAATTTAAATATCTAAATTGTTAAGGTTTATTGAAGATTAAGTCTAAATCAGTCACTGAAATTCTGGTAAAAAATAGCTCAATAAAGTAATTCAAATTGAACGAAAATAACCAATTAAGCCATTAAACAATGTACAGTTCAGTAAATAAAATGTTCTCATTAGGGAGATGCCAAAAGTTGATTGGACATTCCAAGTATTGAATTAAGTAACGTAATAGTAATAAGAATAGGGATGTCAAATGGAAGATAAATATGAAAACTGTCCACTTATTAAAGAAAAGACTAATTTTCATTAAAAATGACTTACAAATTAAGATGGGGTTGTTAGGATCAGACTAAAATAAGAAGCTGGACAAACCACTTCAAGACACTTAAACCAGTTCTGAATTGTTGAATTACCAAAGCCTCCTCTAAGAAAAAAATTTCTTATCCAGATTCCCCTAGAGCTGGTTCTTCTGACTTGATGAATAATTATGAATGAAGATTCTGGTGAAGATATATGATCCAAATTTACTAGGTATACAACAAGAGATTTTTATCAGAAGGGGTTTTGTGGGGATTTTAGAAATTTCACTGATTGAAATCATGGGTCAATTGAAGCTAGACCACCATGGAAAACCTGGAAGCACTGGACGGTCGTTTCGTCTTAGGATGAGACACCTCAGCAGTGAGCATCCACGATCCCGCACCTCAAGAGATTCGAACCCAGGACCCATCAGTCTCGTGCCATGCGCTTAACCAACTAGACCACGGGGTGAGGGATCGTGGATACGCACTGCTGAGGAGTCTCATCCTAAGACGAAACGGCAGTCCAGTGCTTCCAGGTTTTCCATGGTGGTCTAGCTTCAATTGACTCATGATTTCAATCAGTGAAACAAGAGATTTATTAGGTGATTTGCATTTAACTTTAGATAATCATGTAATGGAGCCTTCGAATATCCGTTTGGAATGAGCACGCTTTGTGTGTATTCAAAATAACGTAGATTGTTAGACACACATTTTGTTCACTGTCGTGGTATATTTTTCAGTAATCGTGTTCCAGTAAAATTGAAAATACCACTTTTATTATGCATCTTATACGTGAAACCATATGATTGTAAAAGCAACAATTCTATACTAGTTGTAAATTTCTTATTTGAATAAAATACATTACCAGAGGTGCTGTAAGCTCATCATCATTAGAAAGGCAACAAGTCATATATATATATATATATATATATATATATATATATATATATATATATATATGAGTCAATTGTTAACAGTATGGTAAATTAATGACAGGTATGGGGATTTATTATGTATGAACAAACAAACTTTACTTACATTTACTTTTTAGTTGAAAAAAGCAATAGATAAAATTGTATACAGATGATTATAGAAATATATATATACTGTCAGTGGTTTTCTCTCTCATTCATTCTCCTATTTTTTTCCATCAATAAACATTGTCTTTATGTACTCCAGTCTGTTTGTTTGTTTGTTAATTTGATAGTAAGTATATGTGTATTCTCTATGATAAAATAATTCTTATATTATCAGTAACATCTTTTCTGTGTGTGTATTTTTTCATTTAAAAAAAATATTTAAGCTTATTTTCCTTCCCTTATAACGTTGTTTCAACTGTCAATCAAACAACGTTGACGATCTGATGTTTCTTTCCATAAATAATAACAATAACAGTATTCTAATAATAATAATAATAATGATAATAATGTCAGCTGTGTTGTGATGTTAAGAGAAAATGTAGTTAATTCTAGTAGTAATAGTAGCAGTAGGAGTATTTAAAGTTGCGGGAACACAGAACGTTGACAATAACCACAGATAATAATAATAATAATAATAATAATAACAAGATAGAAAGAAAACAATCAGATGAGTTCTACCTGCAGATGGTGAAATTTAATAAAATAATTTATTTTTAATGAAAAAGGATAGAAATTGTATATTAAGAAATGACCTGCATTCATAAGATGTATATATCGATAAATAAAGGAACAGATCTGTTATTTGAATGAGATAACGGATGTAGTAATGTGAAATTACTTTTTGGTTATAAATGTGTATGTATGTGTATAAGCTTCAATAAGTTGATAGTTGGATAGTTTATTTCGGTTCATTATATTTGGTAAATGTATAGAATAAGGTTTTCAGTTTACATTTTAAAAAAAACAACAATATTCCCATCATAACAGTCAGTTGATGAATACTCTTTTATTTCTAATTTAACTAATTATGTCTGATACATGTAGATCATTTTTAAGGTCTAATTGTGATCACAACTTTGAAGATACTTGATCAAACTGCACTACAGACAAAATCATTAATTATAAAAGAGACATCCAATATATACGAAAAATTATATGGACAGTGTGTCTGCATATGTGACTTCGATCGTTTTAATTACTTTTGGCCGATTGATGGTTCCTAATGAGTTCGAATTATTGATCTGATATTTCTTGAAAAATGAATATCAAATGATAGAATAACTAGTGATCAATATATGAATCACTTTATCCACCGAAATTACATACTTTTATGTAAAATATTTTAAGCAAAATGCCTATAGTTAAAATCCTTTTAAACCATCAGTAATTGTTGGATATCGTTCTTGTGGGTCATTAAAACTTATGAAATTTGGATCTGATTTTTCTGCCTACTTCTCGGCGCATCAGGGTGAAATTCATCGACCTAGCACTATAAGTTGAATAGATCTTTTAATATTTTTCTGTAAAGGACTTGATAAAAAGGGTTAAACTATTGCAACTCTTTAAATCGGTTCCACTTGAAAACAATGTCGACAAATGGAGTATTGAGTATGAAATATTTATTCCGTTAAACAATCAAAGCAAACCAGTTGATCTTGAATAAATGTTACATACAAAGAGATAAAATGAAGATTTTAACGGTTATGATTCAGTTTCTATTTTGAAGAATCCAAAATAAAAAAAGAATTTTTAAACCCAACCAATAGGATAAAAGACTATAAAGAACAATCTAGTGGACTGAAGGAGAATTATGTCCTTAATCATAAATTTCTTTATTTTGTTCACCAATTACCCTGCCTTGATGTTCAAAGTGTGTGAGAGAAAATAGCAGATTATTAAACGTAGTAACTAGAAGTCATTAGGTTAAAAAAACTCCATGATTTCTAATTATTATATGTTGTAAGTAACAATTGAGAACGTAACAAAACAAAGTGAATTTATTCCCGAATATGACGAATCGCGCGTCCTGGATTCCACCGTTAGCCACTATCCATCTTTGCTTATAATGCTTAAGAATTAAGGTAATATCGAGGCAATACACACAGTATGCACATATGCCAATGAGAAACTCATCAATTGGAGTTCTAATCATCATCGGTAAGATTCAAGTAAACAAGACCAGAAAATAGTGTTTATAAAGTCTTGGAAATTCCTGCAAATTTTCATGTTCTATATTTATTTTGGTTAATAAACTATACATTCTAGTCTTATAAGACACTCATACACTTGTATGAAAAAATTAGAATTCTGCACAGATCAAATGCTAAAAAATTCAACTTGACAAACCAATGTGGGTGATATATTTTCCTTATTTACTTTCGTAAAAACACTTACTATATATCATATAACTCTTGAGATATGGATCAATCATCATCATCATCATCATCATCATCATCATCATCATCATCATCATCATCATCATCATCATCATCATCATCATCATCATCATCATCATCATCATCATCATCATCATCATCATCATCATCATCATCATCATCATCATCATCATCATCATCATCATCATCATCATCATCATCATCATCATCATCATCATCATCATCATCATCATCATCATCATCATCATCATCATCATCATCATCATCATCATCATCATCATCATCATCATCATCATCATCATCATCATCATCATCATCATCATCATCATCATCATCATCATCATCATCATCATCATCATCATCATCATCATCATCATCATCATCATCATCATCATCATCATCATCATCATCATCATCATCATCATCATCATCATCATCATCATCATCATCATCATCATCATCATCATCATCATCATCATCATCATCATCATCATCATCATCATCATCATCATCATCATCATCATCATCATCATCATCATCATCATCATCATCATCATCATCATCATCATCATCATCATCATCATCATCATCATCATCATCATCATCATCATCATCATCATCATCATCATCATCATCATCATCATCATCATCATCATCATCATCATCATCATCATCATCATCATCATCATCATCATCATCATCATCATCATCATCATCATCATCATCATCATCATCACTATTATCAACACAAAGCAGCGGTTCACTGATCTTTGATTTTAAGTCATTCTTCAACCAGTATCAATTTATAATGAAATCTATTATCAAAAGGGGTAGTGTTTTTAAAAATTAACATCTTAACTGTGTAATAGTACAATTCTAAGAAAACTATATTGTCTGATTTAATAAAACTATAGTCTTATTTCTTACAATAAATAAAGCCTTTCAACATAAAGATATTTAAGGTGAGTTTAAATATCGTCAAAAAAAACAATTCAAGAAATATACGGCGGTTTAATTTATTACACTGGTAATGACATGGATACATATACATATACACGAATGAATGTGAAAAGAAAAGAATGGGAAAAAAATTACTAGTTTTGATGAACTAACATTAATGAGCAAATGTGAACAATTCAATGGTAACAAAGTTTGATTTACGTAGTTTATACTATTTGTATGAAACAAGTTAGATAACAATAAGAATATAATTGTGTTTACAAAGTATCCCACAAATGCTAAAACAATGGGGTTATGTCAATGAAATTCAACAATCTCCCTAACACCTTACTGATACTTATCATATTCTCCCTACTGACTAGCTTTGAGAAGAAATTTTAAAAGTCCTAAAGAGAAGTCATAACCGGTGGAGCTAGACTATGTTTGGAGTTATTTAATTTGAGTAATTTTGATATCTATATATGTAACATCATTTTCAATGTCATCTATACATTCATTACTAAAATGTTGTGAGAATATCAATTGGAATCAATTAGAAAAAAGGTATACACACAGATAATGAATAAAAAGACTGAAACAATGATGAAGGAATATGTCGACTATAAGTTGTCATTGGATGAATGAACTTACTTACTTACTTACTTACTTACTTACTTACTTACTTACTTACTTACTTACTTACTTACTTACTTACTTACTTACTTACTTACTTACTTACTTACTTACTTACTTACTTACTTACTTACTTACTTACTTACTTACTTACTTACTTACTTACTTACTTACTTACTTACTTACTTACTTACTTACTTACTTACTTACTTACTTACTTACTTACTTACTTACTTACTTACTTACTTACTTACTTACTTACTTACTTACTTACTTACTTACTTACTTACTTACTTACTTACTTACTTACTTACTTACTTACTTACTTACTTACTTACTTACTTACTTACTTACTTACTTACTTACTTACTTACTTACTTACTTACTTACTTACTTACTTACTTACTTACTTACTTACTTACTTACTTACTTACTTACTTACTTACTTACTTACTTACTTACTTACTTACTTACTTACTTACTTACTTACTTACTTACTTACTTACTTACTTACTTACTTACTTACTTACGTCTGTTACTCCTCGTGAAGGAGCATAGGCCGCTCACCAGCATTCTCCATCCAACCCTGTCCTGAGCAATCCTTTCTAGCTCCGTCCAGTTGTAATTCATCGTTTTCATCTCTGCTTCTATAATCCGACGCAATGTGTTCTTTGGTCTTCCTCTTTTTCGCTTCCCTTCAGGATTCCAAGTTAGGGCTTGCCTCGTGATGCAGTTTGACGATTTGCGTAATGTATGTCCTATCCATTTCCAGAGTCTTTTCCTAATTTCCTCTTCAGCTGGAGGTTAGTTTGTTCTCTCCCACAGAAGGCTATTGCTGATGGTATCCGGCCAATGGATGTTGAGTATCTTGCGTAGTCGACTATTTATAAATACTTGTACATTTTTGATGGTGGTTGTTGTAGTTCTCCAAGTTTCAGCTCCGTACAGTAGAACTGCCTTGACGTTCGTATTGAAGATTCTCACTTTGATATTGGTTGAAAGTTGTTTTGAGTTCCATATGTTCTTCAATTGTAGGAATGCGGCCCTTGCTTTGCCAATCCTCGCCTTTACGTCTGCATCTGAACCTCCTTGTTCATCGATGATGCTTCCCAGGTATGTGAAGGACTCTACATCTTCCAGAGTTTCGCCATCAAGAGTGATTGGATTGCTGTTCTCCGCCTTGAATTTGAGGACCTTGGTTTTCCCTTTGTGTATGCTGAGGCCTACTGATGCAGAGACTGCTGCTACACTGGCTGTCTTCATCTGCATCTGTTCGTGTGTACGTGATAGGAGGGCTAGGTCATCTGTGAAGTCCAAATCGTCTAATTGGTTGTGAGCTGTCCATTGTATTCCGTGTTTTCCTTCAGATGTTGAGGTCTTCATAATCCAGTCGACCACCAGAAGAAAGAGGAAGGGAGAGAGTAAACAGCCTTGTCTGACTACGGTCCTTACTTGGAATGCATCTGTCAGCTGTCCTCCATGCACTACTTTGCACTGTAGTCCGTCGTATGAGTTCCGGACAATATTGACAATCTTCTCAGGAACTCCGTAGTGTCGAAGAAGTTTCCATAATGTCCTCCTATCTACACTGTCGAATGCCTTTTCATAATCAATGAAGTTGATATATAGTGATGAGTTCCGCTCAACTGATTGTTCGACGATGATCCGTAGTGTTGCAATTTGGTCTGTGCACGACCGATCCTTACGGAATCCAGCTTGTTGATCTCGAAGTTGGGCGTCTACTGCATCCTTCATCCGGTTCAGCACCACTCTGTTGAAGACCTTCCCTCGTATTGACAGTAGTGTAATGCCTCTGTAGTTTTCACATTTGCTCAGATCTCCTTTCTTTGGAATCTTGACGAGGTGTCCTTCTTTCCAGTCCATCGGCACTTGTTCCTCCTCCCAAATCTTTTTGAATAGAAGATAAAGCATGCTTGTGACTGCTTCGATGTTTGATTTCAGTGCTTCAGCTGGATGAATGAAATTTCACTTTATTCTCTATGAGTAAAATTATCTGTATGGTGGTTAGTGGCGGAATCCAGAACACGCGCTTCGTCCCATTTGGGACTGGTCAGCCGGATGTACCTGCATCCCAGAGTTAATGTTCACTCCGAGACTCGAACTTAGTACCGTTTGCTTCAAACGTTATCTCGTTATTCACGTATCTACTGAGTCCTGATAGCTACTTCTTTTAGTTATATATATATATATGAAGTCCAATAATTGATAGAAGAATATATACGATTAACCATGATCATAAATAATTCTAATATATTAAATGAATGTAATCTTTTTTATAAAAAGAAAAACAAGATCAGCAACGTACTGTAATATTTCAAATAAATATTAATGAATAGGCAAATAAAATCATACATTCTATAAATGATTGACAGAACTAATTTCTGAGAAATATTAACATACCAAAATGCCATAGTGATTATTCTTGCTTTGCTTTTCTATTGTTTACTATCAACGGACCTACAGATCAATCTATTTTTATCTAACTACAGAATTAAATGGTAAAACAATTAAATAAATACATTTTCTGTTCAATTATCTTTTTTTTGTACATTTCTATTGTATTCAAGAGAAGAGAATGCTAAATGTAAAAATGACCTTCTAAAACGTTCACTTATCAACTCTATATGGATAGATTTAGATATTTCAATATTTTGAAGCCTGTCAGTTGAAATAAGATGTCAAAATTCATGATGTAGAAAATGTCATTAAATATAACTTTATATTTACATTTTACACATTTTACGGAATACATATGAAGAAATCTGTCATTTCTCATTTTCTCTCCCTCTCTTTGCATACAGGCTAAAATAGACTTGTAGTAGACTTTTATTTGATGGACCACCCGGACATTAATACTGTGTAGGTTGAGGGCGATACAGAACAATAGGAATAAACAGCACAAATTTTGAGTTTTACAGAATAATGAAACGCTGGTTTTCTTTGGTGCAATGAGCTCACCTTTATTTATAAGGAAGCTTACACACTAACAAACGAATCAGTAATACTTGAAACCATATATATATATATGGAGAGAGAGAGAGAGAGAGAGAGAGGGAGATAGTACTGTCGACAAATCATGTTTTTTACACTAAGTTATCCACTTTCTGTCATGATAACAAGTGAGTAAAACAGAAAAAGAGTGCTGTTATTCTAGTTTCGCATAGATTGATGTTTTCAGAATTTGATGAAATGACGTTAACAAACATCGAAATATGACGGATATTTTCGTTGGGTGTTTGCTATTCACCCACCTTTTTTTTTTACAAAAATGAAGTAAATACATTATTTGACAGACCTTTCATTAAAAATAATCATATTATTAGTAGCGATAGTAATGTATTCACACCCACTTGTATTTAACTGTATTTGGATAAACCACATATCTTCAATAGATAGCTTGATTATATTAGAATACTGAAATGAAATGGTGACTGATTACTATTAACTTACATGTTCACAATTTTCTTCGCTATTTATAGTAACAACAAGGAAAATAAAACAGAACTAGACATAGATTCAAATAAAATCATCACTGTATTCTTAGTAATACAGTAAATATCTGTGTATTCAATCAAAATATAATAAAAATAAGGTACAATATTTGTTCATTTTGTTTGATAAACTAGAAAAAAATGGCATATTTGTTTCACATTTTCGATTTTGTAGCGTTTTCTTACAAGTTATATTTTTCTGTTGTGAAATAACATGCACTGCCGAGGAGTCCCATAGTAGGACGAAAGGGCCATCTAGTGCTCCCAGGTTTTCCATGATGGTCTAGCTTAAATTAACTCATGATCTCAATTATTAAACAATTATTGTTCATATTAAGGAATTTCTTCATTCTAACTTTGAAACTTTTGAATATCTTATATTTTCTTATGATGTCAAGTTGAGATGAAATATATAATCGTTCTTTTTCAAATAACAGTTATATTATCACAATGAATGAATAACTGATCATATTATATTGAACGAGAGCATAAGTGCGGACAATCGAATGTAGTTGAATACAAAATTACAGAACGTATTAATAAAATCTGAGAACCATTCAGTCAATACTTCATTTGCAAAATGTCAATCAATCGTCTCAGACTTCATTGTTCTTTCGTTTCCACACTAATTATTCTCTGTTCTCGTTATCATTTCTTCGATCATCTCAACCTTCTGCTGCCAGGTATTTCACTTATCATATTAAAATGAATCAGACAAATATTCTGTAAACTATACAGTAAATGAATATTCAACTAATAATGTGTG